TCCGGCAAGTAAAAAACGTAAAAGACCACTGTCGGNGACTTGAAAAAAAGGCTGTCAGGTGCCGTGGCATAGGTTTCTCACTGAAAATCCTCTTCCCCCGGCGGCACTTTTTTTTTGAATTGTTTCCTTTTCAACGCCGTTTTTCAGGGATTTCGGATTTTCTTTGAATTTTTTCGCAATAATATTTGAAGAACAGATAACTTTTAACACATTTTAATGCAAAAAAATTTTTGGTCGGAGTCCCCCTTTAAGGATCCCTGTAATGGAAAAAACTTTCCAGAGGCACGTTGGAACAGTAGAAGGGCTTGTTCTTCTGATAGAGGCATGCGACTTCATTAGTTTCTCCAAATCGTCAAATTGATTTGTATTTTTTTAATTCTTAGCTTTTTTTCAGACCAGCTTTAGTTTTTTCTTGAAAATCTTCTGTCGGCGAAACTTTTCAAAAAAAAAAACTTCAGCTGGCCTGAAAAAAAAAACAATTCTACGCTCTTTTATTCATCTGTCTTTGTGATATGTGCCCCCTTCAAACACACATCACAAAGCGAGAGAGTGTAGGAAGAAGAGACGCAAACGAGAGCTCAGACTTTTATGCGCGATGTCGGCAGGTGAGTAATCCATGGGACCAAAAGTTTCGAAATCCTATTACATTGGATAAATTCAGCAGCACATATCACAAAAATTGGATATATAAAGGATGTCTGAAATCACATTGAATTCATCAAAAACTATTTTGAAAATGTTCAAATCTTTCATTTTGATTGCTTTCGTGGCATCTGCTCTTCTTGCGGCTCCAGTTCCAGAGAAGACTCGTAAGTGTTTAAATGGACAAACAGACACACTGATAGATTTCGAAACAAAAATGGAATTTCAATTTTTCCAATTTTATGAGATATTTTTAGCGGAAGAAACTCGTGCGGAACTTCTCTCCTTCGGTCTTTCCCCACAAGCAGCCGATGGTTTAATTCGAATTGGAACAGAAGCTAAGCAATCAGCAGTGAAACCAGATGGAGCCACTCAAAGTCCATTGGAAGTAATTGGTGGAATTTTCAAGTTGTTCGCAGATATGGATGCATTCATGAAGACTCAATCACCAGAAGATCAAGCGGCTGCCAAGAAAATGTTTGAGACGAAGAAGGCGGAGGATGATGCAAAATGGCAAAATCTGATGCAAAATGGAGGAAAGTAAATGAAAATTTGAAAATTTGTTGACTCCAAATTTGAACTTTTATGAATAAAAAATTATTGTTTTTTTACAACTTTGTAAAGTTCCAAATTTCCTTAAAAGTGGTGACAAATTAAATTATGAAAAGTCATGAAGGATAGGTCAGGGGTGCAGCGCCGCAACTGAATTAGCTACGTTGGCGTAAAACCGGCTGCCTACGATGGCCTCTGCTTGGCGCAGGTTTGTTCTCAAAAATGTTTCCCGAACTTTCAGCTGTCTCATCTGATTTCACAAACATGGGAAGGGATTCAGCAATATTAAAGGTTGGGGGGGGGGACATGAAAAGAAATTAATATCTTCAAAATTCCGTTTAAATATGCTTCTCGAGGAGTTGAACTTGTCGGTGCGAGAATTGAGTGTGCGACGCCGCTACCGACTGAGCCACGCGGGCAAAAGTGAAGCGGGAGCAAGATGGTAAACATAAGGGTGAGGACGACAGCTGTACACAGAGTGACATGAAGCGCTGTACACCGTTACGGTAGAATGCACATACCCTGTCTCCGAAAATCCTCCGAAAAATCCCCTACTCAGATCGGCCTCGTGAGGGGCATTTTTTCTGAGTCTTTCATGTCCTGCCCTCTAATGTTTTATTACACCTGATCAATAAACAAATTAAAAATACAACCTACAAAAAAACAGGTCGATAACTTTCAAAAAATTTAGAATAAAAAGTTCAGTGTC